TAAATTTATTTTAATCAAAGCAAATTTACTTCATTTTTTAACACAACTAAAATTTTTTTACGTATATTAATGTTTTAAAGTTAAATATGTCTACTCAAGATTGCATACCAAAAGGATGGTATGCAATCCTAAGTATATAATCAAGAATATTTTATAGGGATATACGTTTTACCACTTTTGTATGTAATTGTGTCAATTAATTATTGCATTTACTTCTATTCTGTTAGATACTGAACACTTAGTTTAGACAGAATAGTTATTTAAATGAGAACTATAAAAGGGGGGGCACTGTTCTGTATAATACATGCTGGAAATGTTCACCACCCTTAGTCTACAGCTTTAGCTTTATTTCTTCAACAAATATTAGTTACAATCGGTATTGCAAGTGTTTGTTTACAGAAGGTCGAACTATTCAACAAATTTAACACTAGATCTCGTTAAAATTTAAATGTTTATTTTGATCATTCCGCTTCTATAGATTTTGATTCAATTTTTTGATTCGATTTAATAAACTTCTGAAATCCATTAGTAAATGCTACTTAGTTTTCTCCTTTCGTGATTTCGTGTATTTTAATGATGAAGTAACTAATTTAAAATCAGAGAAAGTTAGCTAATGCTTACAATGAGAGAATTAATGTTCGAAAAAGGTAATCACGTATGAAAAAAAAAAAATATATGTAATAATCGTTACGTTCATTAGTATTGATTTCTCGAGCTTCGTTTCAGAGTATTGACTAATAAATTGGATATTTAAGAATATGTTTTATTTACATTAGTTATTAATATGTTTTTAAGGTATACAGTACTTTTACAATGTATACTATGTATCTCATTCATCGTCATTTTTCTTTTATGACAAGATTACAAAAATTGAATACATGGTTACTATTTAGATTACTTACTAAAAACAAATATATTAATAAATATATAATATCCTTGTTTAAAAATAACGTGAATATTATTACTGTTATTCGAGTAGATGTCATTGCCCTGATCTTTCATATCCTTAATTTCATCACATTGTTAACATTATATTTTTCGGCTCTAATTTAAAAAAATTGTAAACTTATAAATTCCCAATGTCGTCTGTCCGTCCACTTGTCTTTCCTTAATATCGAGAAAGGAATTAGATAGATGAAAGCCGAAACCAGATATCGAAAGCTTAGGCAGGAGGGTTACGAACTTCCGGTTTGTACCGAAAGTCATGTCATATCAATTCAAAAATTTTCCCCTAGAAGAGTTAATATATGACCAGAATGACTGTATTGTTAAAGGAAAAGTATGATATACAAGGGCAAGACTATTAATTTGAGGTGAAGAGCATAAATTTTAAATTAAATATATTAAAAATACAATTAAAAATTACAACCCTGCATTGTGACGATGTCACAATACATAATCGCTCGTTTAATTAATAAAAGGTTAAACTTGTAACTAATACATTGTTAATGGCTGGCTTATAATTATAAAAATTGGTGTAGTAAATTCACCAATGTGAAAATTTTAGAAGAGAAAATGCTTTCCTTCTGAGATAAAATTACCCCTAAAGACTTTATTTTGGAATAAAATAATTACAATATAAAAATGAAAGAGAGATGGTGATTTAAATATATGCATATAGATAACTCAAAATTTTTAGATTATCAAAATAAATAATACTGTTTTGATAGAATTATTTATTTTAACGATCCAACAGTTAATGTTTTCCGGCAGATCTGTAAACAAGACATTGTATAAAAATTCGTTTTTGGAAATACAGTTTTAAAATACTACGTATTTCTATCGTTATTAATGGATTTTTGAAATTCTCCTCCTGTGAATAATAAATTTCATTATTATTTCTCTACCAAAAGTTTGAAAGAAAATTTGATTTTTTTTAAATGTTTCAGTCATTTGTTTTCATCTGGAGGAATTATGTCATCCTGTGTTTCCTAGCGTCCATTACCTAAAATAAAATTAAGGATACATGTTTAGGTTCCACCATACAATTAAGAAATAAAAGCTCACCTGGGCCTATTAAAACACTTACAAAACAGGGATTTAGAAAACAAAGAATACATCATTTTACACAAGTTTGATATTAGTATACTATTATTTTAAAAATACGTTCAATTCGCAATAAAAACAGTAAAAAACATTATCCCCAAAGAAAATATCCTGCAGTAGTCTCACATCTCCAGAAGTGTGTTCATCCAGATTAAGAAGCACTTCTCTACAATGATTCATCGTAGTTTGCTATAAGCTACCAGCTAACATTTTTCTTGTTAATAAATAAATTTCCTGTCAATAGGATTGATAAATGTTTTAAATGTTAACTCTTCATGAGAGACATCATATTTTCTGTTAAACTTTTCGTTCCTTATATTTCAAGAATAAATTATAAGAATTCAATTTCAAAATCCCATGTTCTAATGATTGTAATTATCAATTATTTTATCCTTCTAACAAATTGTAATTATTATTATGTACTGTACATTTAATATTTATGTACTGTACCATTGTTGATTCGTGTAAATTGATGTGGAGAGCAAATAAAAGTTGAGAAAAATAATTTAAATTTTATAATAAAAATAGCTGAGGTAGCCAACTTCGCTCGGTTAAATGATATTTTAAAGAAAGATAAATGGGCTGCAATTTGAAAAAAATTGTACTGTACATCTATAAATTCCCACTCTGTCAGACCGTCCGTCTTTCCTTACACCCGATGATAGATGATTAAATAGATGATAAAGAACAAACACGGAAATCTTAGGTGCAGGAGGCCCGATTAATTATACAGGAACGTCCGATACAAACCGGAAGTCATGTTATTTGAATTCAAAATTTTCTTCTAAAAGGTAAACGGCACGACTCTATTCTTAAAGGAAAAGTATGATGTACTGTACTATACAGGAGCAAGGCATTGCTAATTTCAGGTGGAGAGCATATATTTTAAATTATTGTAATAAAAATTTGCATTCCGACGTTGTGATGATGTCACAATAAATAATTACTCGTACACATATAAAAATGTATATACGGAAAAAATATATTTATAATAAACTTATAACAGATGCGATCAAACAATTTTACATCGAAATTTACTCTAAATACATTTTACAACTTCAGAAAAATTCAGTCGTTCTCACATGACAGCCGAACAGACAGACAACCAGACGTAAACTCGAGAATAGCATATATGCTTTCCAGAACTATCCTGTCAAAGTGTCGTAGAAATCAGTTCAGCCAAGGACAGACAAAAGACAGTCAAATTCAATTTTAAATATACATATACTGTATATGATAATTATGGTGCGGGTGAAAAGATAAAATAAAATATAATAGCTCAATATTTATGTTATGTAATCATGATTTTTCCGGAAAAAAACAAATCATAATAATTTCAAATCTTTCAAAACAGTGAGATTTTATTGATAAATTGAAAAATTGTAGATCTTTAAATTCCCACTGTCGTTCGTCCCACTGGACGAACGACAGTGGGAATTTAAAGATCTACAATTTTTTCGAATTTCACCCCAAAAACATTGATTTATTTGCATAATTGTAAATGAGTGTTATGATGTATGTGAATAACATATATTCATTCACTTATACAAGTAAGTAATTTTGTGTATAGCTTCCGGCAAGTTGCATGAATTTTGTGGAGTTTCATGTTTTATGCCTGAAACTCCATAAAAAATAAAATACTAGCTAGTGTATTGGCGGTTATGGAATATCCGCTAGTACATTAGCTACTAAAATAATATATGTTAATGATATGCAAACTAGTAATATATAGTTTATCATTATTTCTTACTGTTCTAGTTTAGTCTAAATGTTATTTTACACTAATATCGGCTTATTTAGCGGTTGAATAATGATGTAAGATAAAAAATAAAAAATAAAGTTACATTGCCAAAGTCTCGAGAAGCCACATATAAAAACTAGGAGTTGCTCATGACTAGCTTAAGCGTCTATACCATATTAGATTTTACGTGAAAATATATGATGAGTGAATGAAAAAATTTTTTCTATATTATTATAAAAACCATTTTTTTAAAAATAAACCAGTTAGAAAATGAGATTTTAGCAATGTAACACGTTGGGCGATCTGCCTCGGAATGAGGTCTTTTATGGGAAACTGACTCGTATTTAGATGTTACAAACGTGAAGAAAATCCGAAAAACTCCATATGGTTATAGGACTGGCCACATAGAATTTTCCGGGGATTTTTTTACGTTTGTCACCTAAATAAAACGTGGCCAGCCCGGTAACCAGGTGCAAACTTTCTACCAACTACCAGTGTTCCAGTGGTTTTATCCACACGGCCACTGGTGAGAAGAAAGGTTCATTAAGAGTAGTGAAATTAGAAAATGAATTTTCCAAACACGACTTGATTAACTTTTTTTATTGTCAGAAATTTTTAGAAATAATTTTAGGATTTCAACCTACTGTAACTACTTCTTACATATTGAAAGATCTCATTCAATGTTTCATCTCCCATTCACTAGGCATTTAGTTTCACCAAAAATGAACAATCTAATTTTCTCTCTAACATAAAGGAAATTACAGAACAAGTATTAATTTGATAATATTTAAATGTTCTTAAATATCTATTCATAGGAAATAGTGTTATTAAACTGTACAGATAGAATATTTGTCAGTTTTTTTTTAATTTCAGTATNTATTTGCTGTACATGTTGAGTGTCTTTATAACATTTTTCATAAAAAGTATTATGATTTATTGGGCTGCTATTTTCAGAATGTAGGCCTATACATATCCACTGTCGTCCGTCTGTCCGTCCTTCGTTAATCTCAAGAACGGTGATAAATGAAAATTGAGACCAGATATGGAAAGGTTCAGGAACGGAGACTAACTACATACGAAGGTCCTGTCTGGACCGAAAGTCACGTAATTTTTTAAAATTAAAATCTGATTAAAATTTGCATATAAAATTTTTATATATTAAATTATAATTTAACTATTTTTAATTAATTTTAAATAATCTTGAAATACTTACCATCTTACAATTGATGTATGGCTGATTTTTCTGTTTATTGTAGAAACGATTCTACTTATTTCTTTTTTCGCTTCAGTTTTCTCATTCTTGACATGTTTAGGGCCAAACCTTTTCTAGTAGCTTTAAAATGAAATCTCTCATTAAAGAACATTCTTGTAAATCTCCAATCATTCACTAACGAACAAGAGATTATTCTTTTTTAAGGATTGAATCTAGCCTCGAATGATGGATTTAAAAATAATAATTATAATAATAAGAACAAAACAATATCAAAAAATACTTTCTCATTTTAGTTAATTGTCTTTACTTACCCTCATGGCTAGGTGATGTACTTTTAAATAAATGGCGATGACCTCATTATTATTATAACAAGTCTTTTTTAATCTATACTTAGCATTGTAGAATGTTTTCCTAGCAAAAATTATTCATATCGTAGAATAGAGCAACAAATCCTTATACTATTTAAGTACTGTATTAAAATAAATATCACTTATAATAGATACAATACGTACAGTACCATATATATGAATATGACAATACATCAAACATTATTAACATAAATAAATATTTTAATGCTAAAACAGTAACATAAATAAACACTCAATATTATTACTTTGTGTAAATATAGAATACATTTTCTAATATAGGAATCGAAATCTGTAATGTAATATTAACATTCTTACATAAGAATCAAATAAAATCTATATTTACTCGTACAAGTGAGAGTAAACATGGATGTATAAGATTTTCTATTGTCAACTATAAAAAGAAAGATTTATCCCTTCTATAAACCAGGATAAAAATTTAATTATCCGTATAATTAACTGTGTAATATTCTTGTTAGATGTGTTGTAGGGAAACACTACTTTCATTAGAATACAAATAACATATGAAAGATGAATAATATTAAAAGGTAGTAAAGTTAAAAGGTGTGAATTTCGTGTTGTTCAGTTTCCTTTATTCGATGTGATGTGCATATTTACATTACGTTTGAAAGAAATGTATCAAAAGAAGTAGAAATGATACGAATTCATTTTGCTTGACTTATTCAACTGTATAATGTAGTAAATTTGTATATATACATTATGTAAATTTTTTAGAATTTAAATCTTTTACACTCACTTTTAACAATAATTTTTTTCTTTTGTTTTTATCAATTATCTTCTTTTACGTTATATCTTACGTTGTTTATTGCGATATTATCAAAATGGCGGGCTGCAATTTTTAAATATATTTTTAATTTATTTAACTCAAAATATATGCTCTCCATCTCAAATTACTAGTGGCTTGTCCCTGTACAACATACATTTCCTATAACAATAGAGTCGTGCCAATCATCTAATATCTTTCAGGGGAAGATTTAAATTGGAATAACGTAACTTCTTGTTTGTATCGGAAGTTCGTATACAATTAGTCGGATCTGCTACTCCTAATCTTTACAAATCTGTTCTTGAATGTCATATATATAACTCCATTCTCGAAATCAAGGAAAGACGGACAGACGGACGGACGAACGACAGTGGGAATTTATAGGTCTACAATTTTTTCAAATTGCAGCTTAATAAAAATTAAATAAAAGTTGTTTGTAAACTGTTACATGCAAAGATTAAAATTTTTTACAACGAGAACTTCCCAGTTTGTCTGTACAAATCATAATTCCAGTAAGTATAACTGTACTAAAAATATACAAGTAAAAATAAATTGATCATAAATAAAACTAAAAAGTTACATCAGACTACTACGTTTGTATTTGTATTAAATTTTTGAATAAAAAAAAGAAAAACCTCAACAGCGAGCATAAATTACATTATATTAATAACCTGATGACGTCATTTGCAAGACATTAACATACATGACAGGTCGTAAATATTTAAAATTCTTTTTCATGTCGACAGTTTTAGCATCCGAGCAAAATTTATTCTCTCTTTATTTCTCTAACTTTAATTTCGTTCGGTAAATTTTTATATCCCGACATAAATTAAAATATTATTAATAAATTTTCTAAAATCTCATGTTTGTTTTATAATTTATAAATATTTGCTGTACATGTTGAGTGTCTTTATAACATTTTTCATAAAAAGTATTATGATTTATTGGGCTGCTATTTTCAGAATGTAGGCCTATACATATCCACTGTCGTCCGTCTGTCCGTCCTTCGTTAATCTCAAGAACGGTGATAAATGAAAATTGAGACCAGATATGGAAAGGTTCAGGAACGGAGACTAACTACATACGAAGGTCCTGTCTGGACCGAAAGTCACGTAATTTTTTAAAATTAAAATCTGATTAAAATTTGCATATAAAATTTTTATATATTAAATTATAATTTAACTATTTTTAATTAATTTTAAATAATCTTGAAATACTTACCATCTTACAATTGATGTATGGCTGATTTTTCTGTTTATTGTAGAAACGATTCTACTTATTTCTTTTTTCGCTTCAGTTTTCTCATTCTTGACATGTTTAGGGCCAAACCTTTTCTAGTAGCTTTAAAATGAAATCTCTCATTAAAGAACATTCTTGTAAATCTCCAATCATTCACTAACGAACAAGAGATTATTCTTTTTTAAGGATTGAATCTAGCCTCGAATGATGGATTTAAAAATAATAATTATAATAATAAGAACAAAACAATATCAAAAAATACTTTCTCATTTTAGTTAATTGTCTTTACTTACCCTCATGGCTAGGTGATGTACTTTTAAATAAATGGCGATGACCTCATTATTATTATAACAAGTCTTTTTTAATCTATACTTAGCATTGTAGAATGTTTTCCTAGCAAAAATTATTCATATCGTAGAATAGAGCAACAAATCCTTATACTATTTAAGTACTGTATTAAAATAAATATCACTTATAATAGATACAATACGTACAGTACCATATATATGAATATGACAATACATCAAACATTATTAACATAAATAAATATTTTAATGCTAAAACAGTAACATAAATAAACACTCAATATTATTACTTTGTGTAAATATAGAATACATTTTCTAATATAGGAATCGAAATCTGTAATGTAATATTAACATTCTTACATAAGAATCAAATAAAATCTATATTTACTCGTACAAGTGAGAGTAAACATGGATGTATAAGATTTTCTATTGTCAACTATAAAAAGAAAGATTTATCCCTTCTATAAACCAGGATAAAAATTTAATTATCCGTATAATTAACTGTGTAATATTCTTGTTAGATGTGTTGTAGGGAAACACTACTTTCATTAGAATACAAATAACATATGAAAGATGAATAATATTAAAAGGTAGTAAAGTTAAAAGGTGTGAATTTCGTGTTGTTCAGTTTCCTTTATTCGATGTGATGTGCATATTTACATTACGTTTGAAAGAAATGTATCAAAAGAAGTAGAAATGATACGAATTCATTTTGCTTGACTTATTCAACTGTATAATGTAGTAAATTTGTATATATACATTATGTAAATTTTTTAGAATTTAAATCTTTTACACTCACTTTTAACAATAATTTTTTTCTTTTGTTTTTATCAATTATCTTCTTTTACGTTATATCTTACGTTGTTTATTGCGATATTATCAAAATGGCGGGCTGCAATTTTTAAATATATTTTTAATTTATTTAACTCAAAATATATGCTCTCCATCTCAAATTACTAGTGGCTTGTCCCTGTACAACATACATTTCCTATAACAATAGAGTCGTGCCAATCATCTAATATCTTTCAGGGGAAGATTTAAATTGGAATAACGTAACTTCTTGTTTGTATCGGAAGTTCGTATACAATTAGTCGGATCTGCTACTCCTAATCTTTATAAATCTGTTCTTGAATGTCATATATATAACTCCATTCTCGAAATCAAGGAAAGACGGACAGACGGACGGACGAACGACAGTGGGAATTTATAGGTCTACAATTTTTTCAAATTGCAGCTTAATAAAAATTAAATAAAAGTTGTTTGTAAACTGTTACATGCAAAGATTAAAATTTTTTACAACGAGAACTTCCCAGTTTGTCTGTACAAATCATAATTCCAGTAAGTATAACTGTACTAAAAATATACAAGTAAAAATAAATTGATCATAAATAAAACTAAAAAGTTACATCAGACTACTACGTTTGTATTTGTATTAAATTTTTGAATAAAAAAAAGAAAAACCTCAACAGCGAGCATAAATTACATTATATTAATAACCTGATGACGTCATTTGCAAGACATTAACATACATGACAGGTCGTAAATATTTAAAATTCTTTTTCATGTCGACAGTTTTAGCATCCGAGCAAAATTTATTCTCTCTTTATTTCTCTAACTTTAATTTCGTTCGGTAAATTTTTATATCCCGACATAAATTTAATTAAAATTGTTAAAAGAATTAAAATTCATTGACCGCTCTGTTTTATTTCATAATTATTATTAATAAACTTTACTATTTATTGTTATTAATTAATTTCATCAACTTTGCATTAAATTTTAATGAGTTCCGGTAAATATAGGGAACGAGATCTATTTAATTAATTAATAAATTTGTAAAAATTTTTAAAGCAATTATGAGATACAAGAATATTATTAAAATTGTCAATAAAAAAGGTAAAAATAACGTTAGAAATTGTTGATTTTTATATTACATTTGAAATTATTTTTGCATATTGTATTGAAGATAATTATAATTTAAAATAGTTAATAGCTGATATACGATTTTTTTACTATATTTAATATACAGTACTAAATAAGATTTAATTTACTCTCCGTCTCACCTCTCTTTGTACCAGTATATACTATAAATATAAATATTTATACATAATATTTCGTACTATTTTATCACATATTAGCTTAGGAAAGTTGTTGAAAATATGATTTACCTATCTGATTTCTATATATTTTTCATATAAAAATAAAAATAAATAAAAATAGAAGTTGCAATATCACAATTTGTAACATTTAAATTTTATAACCCGAACTTTTCACGAGAAGAAAGCTATTGTTTATTATTTATTTAAAACAAAAACAAAAAGTTTCTGTTCTCTGTTTTTCACAATGTTATTTCGTAATGTTCTCACAGTTCAAAGAAAAAGAAAAAGAAAAACATAGTGTAATGATCCTTTCGACATTTATCATTCAGTTCACTTGGTGTTTGTTTGAAAAGTTGCATCGAAACTAATAAACATATTCATTTAAATTTAGTTTTCGAGAAACTTGTCGTAACCATTACAAAAATTAAATATGCAAGATGATGCTGACATGTAACCGTACCTTGATATCACAATAGAAGTAAAAACACACTATTATCAATGAAATTTAAAACTTAGAAATTGTAATTACAACACTTCTTGGGCTGCAATTTTCAAATTGTAGATCTGTGGATCGTCTGTCCGTCTGTCCGTCTGTCCTTCGTTAATCTAGAAAACGGAGTTAGACAGATGAAAATGGATACCAGATATGAAAATCTAGACGAGTTAATTTTTAAATTAAACTATGATTAAAAATTGTAGCCTGACATTGTGACGATGTGGCAATAACTAATATATTTCTTATTACCTTCTAAATATACAGTTTCCAAATGATAAATTAACATATTTCAGACAATTTTAAGATAAAAATATGAAATAAAACACCTACTTAAATTACTGTACACAGAAATGATTAGTATGTACAGTATTTTAACTTGTTTATATATACAGTCGACCCCCATATGTGCATATTTACATTACGTTTGAAAGAAATGTATCAAAAGAAGTAGAAATGATACGAATTCATTTTGCTTGACTTATTCAACTGTATAATGTAGTAAATTTGTATATATACATTATGTAAATTTTTTAGAATTTAAATCTTTTACACTCACTTTTAACAATAATTTTTTTCTTTTGTTTTTATCAATTATCTTCTTTTACGTTATATCTTACGTTGTTTATTGCGATATTATCAAAATGGCGGGCTGCAATTTTTAAATATATTTTTAATTTATTTAACTCAAAATATATGCTCTCCATCTCAAATTACTAGTGGCTTNCGTATTTTGGAAATGTTGAGTCGGATTAGTGTAGAATCGATTAATTTTATGGAAGAAAACCTTTCAATCAGCCGTAGTCCGTAAACTTGACACGTGTCGGGCTGTGATTGGAACGACTTGTAAGAAATCGGATTCCTAATAAATTGGAACGTATCTATATCTTATAGGGGGGTCGACTGTATATATATATATCTAATCATTTTATCTTTATAATTAAATTGCTTTGAATAATCACATATATATCAAATAAAATAAAAATAAATAAATAAATAATAACTCTAAAATCACCAGGAAATAATACTGAAAAATATTCTCTAGGACAGTTGATAATCTTTTAGCAGATAAGCAATATCAGCAAAATCTGACGAAGTTACTTTTATCTTCTTTGCTTATCGGAATTAGTAAATGGAAAAGATAAGAAATTAGAAGTTACATTGCCAAGATTCGGTATTTATACGACAGAAACAGAAAATATAACAATGCAATAAAATAAGTATTATTCTCAACAGAATGCTAACGGGTAATTATAAAAAGAAATTTCAATTCTACACGCTCACTGTATATTATTATCATTATTATTATTATTATTATCAAGAAGCTATATCGGTTTCAAGAGTTTAACTGCAATAAAACCAAATCCTGAAAGAGATCGTGTGTATTGAAGACAGATTACATGACTAAATTCAAACTAAATTCTACATATGTAGCTATATATATATATAAGAAATAATAATATCTAACAGAAAAAGATAAAACCCTTTGTATGGTTGAATTGAGACAGAACAAACCGTGAGGAAAAACATAAGAGAAAATGGATAAAGTGATGATATAAAAAAGATAAACATATGTCAATATTACAAATGGACTAAAGAAAAGCATTCGATCGAGCACATCATATATTCCTGTGGGATATAATGAAGTTAAAAATATACAGTGATACTTCAGAAGAAAACATCAGCACTCTGATCCATATGATGCGAATCGAAAATGTTGTAACACGGTTTCAAATGCCACAGGGGGAATATATATATATAAATATATAGTACACTTCCGCTAAAATCAGGCTTTGGCGTACTGCGTATGCAAAGGAGATAAAAAGAAAAATGTGATAATAAATTAAATGCATGATTAAAATAGTATGAAGCGTCTATCGTATATAAAATCGAATCGATTGCATCAATTGAATTGTGTACCTGATAAGCAGCGAAAGAGAAAAACTAACTTTTTATTTCCTAATATTAAAAATGTAAATAAATAATTGCATATTACACATTTATAGGTTACATATTTAGGTTACTTAGCGGGATATACAATAAATACTGTGTTAAATTTAAATGGTTTTCTGTTTAGCCAAAAATTTGAGATTATAAATAGAATAATATTGTTATATTAATCTTTTAAATGTAGTTTTACCCTATGAGACTACTTCTTAGAAAGTAATCGTGTTGAAACTATGATTACTGTAATGGTTTAATAATTTAAGTACTTTGACAGATGTATATTTGTCAACACATTTGCTTTATGATCATTCTGTGGTGCTATAAGATTATATCTAATTAAATTTATTTGTGAAGGTGTATATAAACGAAAAACTATTTTGATTATTTTTCAATTATTTTATAATATATAATCGATTCGATCGATTAATTGTTAGAAATTTAAATAAATATATATATTTGTTTATTTACAGTATGAAATTTATTTACATTTCAATTTAATAATATTTAAAAATTTTTTTTATTACGAGTGAAATGAATTTTCTATGTTTTTATTAATATTTCATTATAATTTGATATGAGAACTTCATATGTAAGTAAGTAAGCAAATACAAAATAAAATTGAATTATATTTTTACGCTCTTAATAAAGTTAGTTTACTAAAAGAAAAAAAAAACGTTCAATTTTGATGTAAAATAAAAATGAATACTGCTAAATTAAAGGTTATTAAATTATTTAAAATGTAAATTAAATAACATCAAATTTTTTATGTTGTTATAACCTTAACGTACAGAGTTAAAAAGAAATAATATATAGGCTATATTTGTTTTTATCACTGATGTACTGTACAGTATACTGAACACCCCCAATTATACAGTATACTAAATTATACAGTATATATAGAGGAGAAGGTGGTATTATGGAACACTGCGGGTATTATAGAACACTGCGGGTATTATGGAACCACCCCATTTCGAACTGATAATAAAGGCGAACTATAGCGGAATGTGGCTGAACTGAACTAGGCAGACATCCATAGCAAGGAGAAAACCCGTTTTACTTCAGTTAAACGGTTGTCCGCATTTAATCGGCAAATTTGTTTTTTTCAAAATTCGCAAGTTTTGAATGCTAAGTGAATTTAATTATTTTTAAAGTATAAATCGTGTAGTTCTAGGTTCACTGGTGCATGTATTCCGTTCCAGAGATTTAGGGGTACATATTAATCTGCGTGATGTTCAGGTTTTTTAAATTTTGGTCTTGACAGACATAAGTTAATTCGAGATGGCGATGCGTGAAATACGGACCTCATTGGTGCTTTTACAGTAATATGAAACTTAACTCCTCCGAACTTTCTATTTGCAAGCAGACATTCCTCCAGAGCAATTTGTGAAAAAGACACTAGGTAGAAAGCCAATTCTTCCCGAGAATATCGAAAAAGAGCTGCTGGAATATATATTGTTGATGGAGGTCATATTTTTCTATTATAAAAGCATTTTTGCGATAAAATACATTGGAGTAAATAATTTGGTAATTATTTAACATTTTTTGTCCTTTCCTATTTGTTTTTGGCTACATTAAAGCATTTTTTTGAAAATATACAGTAAGGTTCCATATTACCACCCGATTTTCTCTAAGCCTACTTTCGGACTTTTTGTACAAAAGCCTTCAAAAACCATACTTATAATTACACTAGCGAAAAATCCAATTAGGAACATTTAGATTACTAGTTACCAGTACTTTTCGCACAAAAAATGTAAATGTTGTTATGATACCTTGTTTACAATTCACTAAAATGTAATTGGGGTTCCATAATACCACCTTCTCCTCTACTTTTGGTAAATATTTGTGGCCGTCTACCTACAATTTGGCCGTTTAATTGAAAAGATTAACACCAAGCACCACTGAAATAAGCAATTCTGTTACAATTCTATAATGATTTAAAGTGTATTCGGTTCGAACTTGTCTCATGATAACGATAAAAAACATCATTTAAATAGTAAACAGCATATTTAAATATTATATAAGATTTTAAAATAAATCATTTTATATACTTATCTATTTCTCGTTTTAATTATTAATTCAAATTTAATTAAAAATCTTAAATTTTTTTAAAAATCTAATCATTTCAAATAAATAAATTTCAATTAATTTTAGATGCGTCATTAAACACTAAGAAAAGTTTTGAAAATTCTAACAAAGTTTACGTATTAAAAAATAATTTGAGTACAAATAATTTATTATTATTATTACTACATGCATTGTAGTTTGTAATTTATTTCAGATAGGCCTTAAGATATAATAATAATCATTTTTATTTCGTGAATTATTTATATATTTATCAAGATAAACAACTTTATACCAAATAATTTAATTACTGTTAATCTTTTTGATCAATATTTCAATTAAAATTTTTCTTTATTTATTCAAACAAATAAAACTCCGGTTAACTTTCCTCTTACATTTTTTTTTCGTCATTTAAATAACTAAGTACGAATTTTTCTAATGAATATCGTAATCTTTTCACATGAATCTGTGTTGTAAATTAATTTTAAAAGCATTTGCAACGAAGATAAATGCAATTTAAAAAAAAAAAAAATTCTATCAAAGTCAATACAATATCAAAGAAAATTTGATCAGATTATGAAAGTTTTAAAGGACGAAAAAGTTACAAAAATTAATTAAAATATTAGATTAAAATCTTTAAAAGATTCGTTTCAATACTACAACTTTCGTTGTTTAATACGGAAAAATTTCTGTGTAAACCGTCTTCAAAGGTTTTTATTTTTTAAATATATTTTTAATAATTACCTACAGCTTATATAAATTTTTATAAATAATAAAGATAATCTATTTTAAATATTTTACAAGATGATAAATATTAAAATTTCTGCCAAAAAATTTAATGTTGTTGCTAGAGATCTTTATTTACCAAAGAGAATTTATGCAATTATTTTTTTATTGATTAAAAAATTTATATTCGATAATTTCAAAGTGAAGAACTAAGTAAAAAAAATCGATCGATATTTGTTTATGATGATAAATTATTTAAATTTCAAATCGTTATTTTGTTTTCATTCGGGATCAATCACATGATAGATGTAGATAGGTTATCATTATAATATGAAAAATGGTTCCTGTGGTTTTTTCGGCTCTTTCATTCTTTGAAATTCGAAGATTATGGGGTGGATAATATCAAGAGTTATAACAAAAATGACATAAAATTTGATGTTATCGTCATTTATCTTTATTAATTTGTCTTTTTTGTTTGTTTCTAATGATCAAAAAGATTTATTGATAATTTTTGTAGAGTGATATGCTATTATTTTCCGAATTTATTTTAAATTTTAAAGGTAAAAAGTGATCCAAATTTTGTTGAGAGTTAATTAATACTTTTGCAGATAATAAAACTTACTTTGAATCTCGTTCCAATTACTTATCCCAGTCGTAACTCTTTAAGAAATCTCTTAAGCTCTTTTCGGAACTTGTAGAGTAACATTTTCTTCGTTTCTGTAATAAAATGTCAGCAAACTCAGCCCAATTTTCTGACTTTACTCAAACATGGTTTTAATATTTTATCAATGTGACGCATTCTCTTAGCTATAAAACCAGTAGAAGCACACGTAAATCTGTAATAGTAAAGAGTAGTGATTATAGTAAAACAGTCAAAAGTTTTTAATTATTAGTAAAGACGAGATTCTATTTCAATAAATATTACAACAAATTTAATTTGATATTTACGTTTAAAATTGTTATTAATGCGCGAAGATATAATAATTTTCTATTATAGGGCCTATAATATTGAACAATTGATAGGTAGTTAATTTATATTGAGTTTAATTATTAATATACAAGATTATATCGTGTATTAATAATTAGTAACTGACATAAATTAATTTTATATTAATATAAATGTAAATTTATACTAAGCAAAATTCTATATTTTCTAAGATTTTGTTTGATGGGATTAAAGTAGTAATTTTCGATAGAAAATTTTAAAAAATGCTCTTTACAATCCTAGATTTTTACTTTAAAATATTCTTACTATTCTTGAATTATAAAATATATTTCTAGCTTTTTTCAAATGGACTTAATGTTTCCTTTTTACTTAAAGAATAAGTTATACATTGTAAAAAAATATTTAAGTTCCTATCGATGGATTAATCATAGAAAAATTCTCTTAACATCCAAGTTACTAAATAATAAATTTCTTTTCCATTTCTATAAAACCTTTTTCAATACTACAAATATAAATTTTCATGATTTATAACAATCACTCAATCAATCAGTCCATCTTTATTAATATTTATACCATATATAAAAGTCAATAAAGACTGTAATTATTCTCTTGTTCAGTATTTAATTATTTTCGGTTGCTATAAAAGATAAAAGCCTTATAACTCATACGATTATATTCTTATATACAGTATTAAATAAACATATAATTAGATGTTACGTAACAGTTGTTAGTGTAAAGTTACATACTATCATATATCTGATAGAATGCAACTTAATACATCACTCATTAATTCAATGTATAACCATAATCAAACAAACTATATGGCTTTTGATTCTTATGGCAGACAAGTAAAAATATCAAAAGTATAAGATAATTACATAACACCTATCAACGAGTTGCATAACTTTACCACCCCCAAGATTTTTTTGATTCAGGGGACTTTGAAACGTCGAGAAATGCAAGAGTTTGAGGTATTTCTGTATGTATGGATGTTAATGTGTATGTTTGTGTGTGTGTAATGTGTGTAATATAAATTTTCACCCAGTTTTAAGCTTAATAATTCTTATGCCTTTTGTCGAAAATTTCTGAAATTTTGCAGGGTGATTTGTGTAGCGAATGGAGGACATATCAAGGTCCCTTTTTGATCTTTGGAGGGTAACTTTTTGATCGATCGCCATACTTTCCCTATGTTATAAGTAAAATATTTTAGAAACATTCGAAATCTCATCCAGAAATGTCATTTACTGGTTTATTTAATAACCTATTCCATTCGTGGTGATATGTTGAAAATTATTCGTATAATATTTATATTTTAAAGCATTATTAGTCGTCAATAGAAGAATGTAAATCCATCCTTATAATAATAAATAGATCTCAGCATCACTTAGAATCATAAGAAAAGAAAAGAGGAAGAGAAATATAAAAATTTTAACTGGAATTTATTTTTTAAAGTAAACCAGTATCATAGTATAAACAAATAAAGATTCAAACATATTTTTAACCATTTCAAATAGAGAATCTCTTTATCTTACGATATAAATATGATACATAAAGGTAAGAATGTTTTAAAATTAATTCATAAATATGCGTTACTCCGAAAACATCTATTAAATTAATTATTTATTTACCTGTAATATTTTAATTTCGCCTGTTATTATAAATTTATATTAAAAATTTTAATATTTAACAGTTGTAAACGTCAGAGATTCTGNTCACAATTAACGAAATAATATAAATATATATTAATATTTTATAATTATATTCACTGTACAACTTTTAAATCTTTCGAAGTTTAAAATTAATAACAAGTAATTTTGATGGAAACTAATAAATAGAATAATAATTCATCGATCTATTATGATGCAGTGCAATTTTTATGTTGTATGTAAAGGTCACATTAAGATTACATACATTTGCTTTCTATTCGTCTAATTTAAATTTGAATAATAAAAAGAAAATACCTGAATTAAAATTGGTAAAAGGATGATTCATTTGCATGTAAAAATCCCTCTCTTTTACGGAGAATTTCGCCCGTCAGCTGTTGGTATCATTAGCTGCTAATTAACTTCAGGATAACTTTTACTTTATAATAAGAAAATTCTGTTTTAAATAAAATTTAATTTCAGAGATGTCGAAATTTCCCAGTAAACATGTAGAAGAATAATTGGCCTGTTAAATTCTGCAGTTATTTCTGTAAAAAATGAAAACTTCTAGAGAATATATTAAAGAATTTATTACAGATTTTATTTAGTAATATGAAATTTTTATTATTATATTAAACATTTACTTGTACAAACGTTTTATCAAAGAAATAAATAGAGGAAAACAGAACAGAACGGAACCACCTATATTACTTTCTCGGCTCTGTTATAAATACCTCGTATAACAGAGGGAAAGTATGGCAATCGGTCAAAAAATGACCACAAAATTTTTACATTTTTGGACTCGGAGGACCTTGAAACATCAAGAAATACAAAAAAAATTCGGGGATTTTTTCTGTATATATGGATATACTATGTGGGGGGACGACCCTCTTTGAAGCTATTCCTTGTGCGTTTCGTTTAAAATTTCTAAAAGTTTGCACGGAGGTTTGTGTATTATGGAGATTGATGCTGTTAAATTTTGGCGGTTAAAGGTCGAGGAATTAAGGAGATAGAGGAGAGTCGTGTGTCATATCTCGAGTGAGTCAGATTTAATGAAGATTTTACTCGTTATTAGCATTTAAAATATTTTATAAAATTCGTCTCTACCGTCGACATTTTATAATAATTAACTGCTATACTTTCCCTCTGTTATATCGGTCAGAAAGTGACCCCCTCCCGAAGATTTTTACATGTTTGGACTCAGGGATCCTTGCAACGTCGATAAACAAATAAAAAGTTGGGATTTTTTCCGTTTGTATGAATATTAGTGCGTGTGTGTGATAAGCAAGATTTTGCTCACCAACTTCGAAGCTTAAGTCTACCTTTTATCGAAAATTTCTCAGATTTTGTGTATTAGGGGAATCATGCAATTAAGTTTTGGTGGTTAAAGATCGCGGGGTGGAGAGGTAAACAAGGATAGTGTGTCATGTCTCGAGTAGGGTTGGACTTCATGACGATTTTATTCGTTATTAGCATTTATAAATTTTTATAAAGCCCATTCCTACCCTCATAATTAAGTTTTTGGCCATTTTACAATAATTAAAAATATAAAAAGTTTTCTTAATAAAACATTGTAACAGATGGTATTACCAAATGTTGCCGGGGAAAGTTAAGCAACTCGTAGTTGAATTTTTTATTATGATCAGCGGATAGTATAAATTAGAAAGAATTTCAAGAACTTCATAATAAAGCGTGCCTACACCGTCGAGGTCGTTGTGAGTTGGCAACCACATGCTGAAGCAGAGCTCATCCCTTCTTCCATTCTTGTAATTTTACTGATTCTTATTCTCACGATAAGTCATACAAGTTAATGTTGTATTGTATGACTTACTGTATATTGTAATTGTTCAGTTTGTGACATTGTGTAATAATATTCAAACAATCTCTGCTTCTGGGACGGAATCTGTTGGGGGATGGACCATTTGCCAGAAATGTTTCAATTTGGCCCATAATTCCTGTGCTGAAGTGAACAGTGACAATGAAGATGCTATTCTTATTTGTGAATTTTACCATTAATTGAAAACATCTTTTTACTTAATCTTTCAGACTGTTTCAAGCAAGTGTTTAGTGTGCAATAAACCCAATTTTGACAAATAATATTTACATAAACCAAAATTAGCTAAAGATTAATATAATTTTATCATTGGTTATTTTTATGTAATAGAAATTATAGTGTTCCTTTCTGTTCTGGGTCGTAATAAAAATAACCAATGATAAAATTATATTAATGCTGCTTATAATTAATGCTGCTTAAAATTATATTAATTACTGATCTGGATCGAAAAAAACTGTTATTTTTATGTAATAAAAATAACAGTTTTTTTCGATCCAGAGCAGTAAGCAGAACGGACAAAAGTGCAATTTTTATGTCACAAATAATAATAAATGTTCATAATTTTTGATAATTTTGAAATAAATTTTGTGTTTCCAAGTAGTTAAAAGATAAGCTTATTTATTTTCAAACATATTTGTGTATCATTTACTACTTTACAACCCTTAAAACCTTGTGTTCCGCTCTATATTTATGCTATTAATTATACTTTGTTAAAAAATGTATATAATACTAATAAGAAGAATAAAATTTTGGTGTAAAGCAGGGATACGTCTCACTCGTTTACACCAAAATTTATATACTCTAATAAAAAGAACGAATAAATTTTATTAACTATTGTAGATATGAAATGTATCCGAAAATAAAATAGTAAAACCGAGATTTATATTTAATTTAGTAGGCAATGTCAACAAATACTATCATCATCATTACCATGCAAATAAGTACAATTTCTCAAGCTTCATCCATTAAAATATCTTCCATTTCATTTTTATAGTAGAATTTTCTTTAAAAAGACTTCAGGTATCTCAAGTTTCAAGCTGTTTCACGGCATCATTCCAAATTCTAGGTGATTTACTCTTCTTTAACTTTAATTAATAAATGCCTGTAAATATATATTTTGTATATTTTCGTAGCTTATATTTTAAATATTTTCAATTATTTTAACACGAAGTATATTATTGATAAAGTAAATAAACAGTTAATTAAAATGTCTCGTAATTTGACATTCATTAAATTAATTATTTATTTACCTGTAATATTTTAATTTCGCCTGTTATTATAAATTTATATTAAAAATTTTAATATTTAACAGTTGTAAACGTCAGAGATTCTGTAGATATTAAATTCGCAAAAACAAAACGAGCGAGAAAAATCAATAAAATTGGTGAAAATAAGCTTGTTATTGTCATTATAATTGATTTTATGATGGAGTTTGTCATTAGGAATTAATGAAACGAAAGAATAAATAAAAATATTTTAATGGAAATCATAATGGAAACCGCAATTTTAGGTACTAATGGAGTTAAAGTAGTTTTATATTGTTAACATAGTAAAAGAATGAGGCACGTGAATACGAAATCAATCTGGCTAACATTAAAATAAATAATAGACAAGGGATACAAAGTTAAGATTTAAAATAAGATAATTGAAAATACTTTAATTTTAATTACATTAATGATTTCGATGTAATAAGTATAATTATAGAAGCAAAGAAACAAGTTATCGGGTTGCAATTTCTGAATTACAGACCTATAAATTCCCACTGACGTCCGTCTGTTCGGCCGTCTGTCTGTTCTTTGTTTATCTCGAGTATGGAGTTAGAATTTTTCCGTTTATCGAGGCCTGACCTCGATAAGCGGAAAAAATCTGAAAGATCTGCAAAAATCTACAATACCTGGAAAAACTCTAAAGATCATATTTGGAAGATCTAGAAAAAAAATCGAGATCAGATATTTCTATATCTGGTCTCGATTTTTCTCATCCATCTAACTCGATTTTCGGGACCAGGAAATACAATTAACTAAATACCAACTAAGTAATGCAATTTTTTAAATTAAAATATGATTAAAAATTGCAACACGTTATCGTGACGACGTCACAGTAATATACATTCGATTTTTTTTTTCTCTTATATATTTGCAACTTTGATTGACAGCGTAACTGTAATAGAAACCTTTTTTTTTCTATCGAAAATTCTTCTCATGCAACTATAGTAACATAAACAATTTAATAGTGTTTTATCGGTATTGATCGAGCCATTCTCTACGAAAGATTAATTTAAGAAAGAAAAAAAAATCCCCCCCAAAAAGCGAATGAATTTTAGAGTACTCTCCAAAAGTATAAAAATGGACATTTTACCGTATAAAAATAAAAAAAAATTGAAATATTTAATTTGGTTTTTTCAAGAAAGAAATAAAACTGTTTTTGTTTTGTAATGTTAAATTAAAGAAATGACAAGGAAGCGGAAGAAGGAAAAAAAATCACAAAACTGCTTTTTAAAACGGGAAAAAAAATGTTCTGGTCTTAACTACTTGTTCTTACATTTTGGACAATAGGACTACTTTTATCTGTCGCCATGGTTACAGTTGTTTTCTATCCTGTAAAACTCCCAAAGCGATTTGCTTCTTCAAGCAAGAAGGTCGGTTTTACAGAAAAATTTTTCTTAAATCCTGAATCAAAGAGGGGGAAAAAACGAAAAAAAAAGAGAAAACTTTTATTCAATTTTATATTAATCAGTTTATCTTTCGACATTATTGAATTAATTTAGTAATTTGGCTGCTAGAGTAGAACATTTGGATGAAGATTTACTTAAATGTATTATATTAAAATAATTTAATTTGTCATTAGTAGAAGATATAAGCGTTAATTAATCACGTCATTTGTAAAGTGATTAATTACAATATTTGATTTTTACGCGTTCTTATTGATAAATAGATTAATATATATATATATATATATATATATATATATATATATACAGGAGAAAAGTATAGAACTTAAGACATAACCATGTGGTATACCTGATGTAGGAGTAAAATTTAAAGTTTAAATTATTTTAATTTTTAAAGTGTATGGTAAAAAATAAAGCCAGTAAATTAGATGAGGGAAATATATCCCTATTTTTTATTTTATTTTANATATATAGGCCCTATAAGAAATTAAAAACTAAGTTGGCACAAGTTTAATACGATACAGCAACGAGTTACGTACCTATCTGGGCTAAAAAAAAAAGTTAAAATTGTTTATGGCGCCATCTGTTATGAGATTTTACTTTAAAATCTTTTTATACTGTTTATTATTATAAAATTTCGAGGGTAGAGACGAATTTTATGCATGTTAAATGCTAATAACGAGTAAAATCTTCATTAAATCCGACCAACTCGAGATATGACAACGACTCCCCTCTATCTCCTTACATCCTCGACCTTTAACGGCCAATATTTAATAGCATCAACCTCCGTAATACACAAACCTCCCTGCAAATTTCAGAAATTTTCGACAAAAGGCACAGAAATTATTAAGCTTCAAATTTGATAAACCTAATACACAAACCCATACACAGACACTAACATCCAAACTTATTACACAATCCTCGATGTTTTTGAATTTCTTGACGTTTCAAGGAACCCGAGTACAAAAATATGAAAATCTTGGGAGGTGAGTCATTTTTTTGACCGCTCGCCACACTTTCCCTCTGTTATACATAACAGACGGGAAAGTAATATGAATATAGAAGGATCACTTGAAAATAGAAATGGAGCTTTGTTGTCTCTATGGCTTTCATAGATCACAATAAATAATAAAAAGTTATGGTAAACTTTTCATTTTATATTTTAACTTAGAATAGAAGAAAATATATTCTAGAAAATATTACAAAAATTTTGAAATGTAATATGAGATATTCTGTGATAATATTAATATTTATTCGATTGCTCTAAGCTATTGTACGTAGCAAGAACACGAGAACACAGCCAAGACTGTTTAGAGATAATGTTTTTGGACCATGTTTATTTGTATTTACGAGAAAAATTCTTTTCCTTAAGCGTTAAGGATCGAATCCAAAAGGAAGTTGTTAAATTTACTTTCCCTCTTTGGAGATCCTGATGTGTAATATCTCAATGTAAGACCAAGACTACGTTTATTAATAAAAGCAACCTTGATATACATCATTTTTTTGTGCGTGTAAAACTTCAAATTATTTAATAATATTCTAATTTTATATTCTGTATTTTTTTCGATTAATTATACTTAAAGTTTCATTTAATTAAAAGTTTATTTACGAACACCTTTAGGAATGATTCAGATGAATAATATGAAATATAGGAAATGTATAAAATTATTAAATTTTTTTCTTATTACACCAGTAGAAAGTAAATTAAACAAATTAATTGTAAATATATAGACTTATAATTTACTGATAAATATAAACACTCTGTAAATAAATAAATGATTTACGTATTTACATCGAAATAAATGTATTCGATGCGAAAATTTAAGTTTAAAAAGTTGTTTTACAAAGAAAATTGTGTACTAATGAACATGTGTTTTAAAGACTACACAACGTTATACTGTACAATTTGATACAAAGATAGTTTTACATTCAAACAAAATTTTATTTGAATTTCTACCGGAATATCAACGTACTAAAAAAGTCCAGTGATAAAATGCTGTATCAATTTCATTGTAAAGACTTGTTATATCAGTACACTAGACAGGAAGTAGTAAATTGTTAGTTTTATACAGAATATATTTATGCTGCCCTTTTCAAATGTTTCTGTGTCTATGCCTGATAAATGCAGCTGATTTTTAAAACTTTATATCAAAAAATGATGACATGAACATTATATTCTTTTCTCTATAAAATATAAAGTTAAAACAATAAGAAAACTTTTGAATATATTAGTTTTTTTTGGTAAGAATGAGGTAATATAAATTATTAAACTAGTTATTTTCTATTATATGCGAGCAATTTAGTTTCCAGGCTGCAATTATTAATCATAGTTTAATTTTTTTTAAATTCCAGCAACGAGTTGCTTAACTTTCCCCTGCAACGTTTAAAATTTCCTGTGGCGCCATCTGTTATGATATTTTATTTTTAAAATTTTTACATTATTAATCATTATAAAATGGCAAAAAGCTTGATTTTAAGGGTAGAGATGAGTTTTATATTAAAAAAAACTTGTAAATGCTAATAAAGAGTAAAATCGCCATTAAGTCCAACCCTACTAAAGATACACACGACCCCCATTATTTCCCCACCTTTCGACTTTTATTTACCAAAATTCAACAGCATCAATCCCCTTAACAAGCAAACCCTCCCTGCAAAATTTCAGAAATTTTCGACAAAAATCACGGAAGTTATTATGCTTCAAACAGGATGAAAAAAAAAATAGTTCTTCCCTCACACACACATCCATACATACAGAAATTACCTCCGAATTTTCTGCAATTATCGACGTTTCAAGGTCCCGAGTTGAAAAATGTAAAAATCTTAGGGAGGACACTTTTTGACCAATTGCCATACTTTTCCAGGAAAGTAATAAGCGTTCCATATCTGGTCTCGATTTTCATGTATCTATCTCCTTCTCGAGATTAACAAAGGACGAGCGGACAGACAAGCAGAAGGACCACAGTAGGAATCTAAAGGTCTACAGTCTGAAAATTGCGGTCCAATCAATACAATATGTTATAATATTTTTCAAGAACTTTGACTATAAAAATGCTAGATTTAAAAATATAAATAACTATATAATGCGTTTGCTTAGCAATAAAAAATAGAAATCACACTGAAGCATTTTAGTGTAAATTCTATATATTTATTACAAAAATGTACATTTACGTATATTTTAATATATTATCTTATACTTGGATTTAGAATCTTATAATATAATCGAGATAGACTGATAATGATGATGATCATAATAATAATAGGCGCAGAGCCCAAACGGTTAAGAGTTGAAAGTTGAAATTTGGTACAGAGTTAGGGTACGCCATTGGAAAGAATGCACACTACAGGACTTTCCGAAATTTCTCCCTCGGAGGAGAGGGAGAGAATAAAGGATTACCCTGAATTCGGATTTTACTGTACTATTTTAAATGCGGTTTTTTTTTTTACGGAAAATCGAACATGTTTTTAGACCCATCTAAAAATTCCCTAATTAGTCTCGAAAGAGGGTGAACCTAATTCTTGCACCCAGTAAAAACGAGTAAAATTGGCTATAATCTAATAATAATTTTTGCTATCGTTATTTTTTGCCCGAGCAACGCCGGGCTCATCTGCTAGTAATATAATAAAAAACAATATATATTCGATCTATAATTTAATGATGTCATATAACACAAAATTGAAATTAAAATTAAAATTACTAACGTTTATAAAATTTATTAAAAATTATAATTTTAAATATACTAAAATAATACTCATTAACTATATTTTAATTAATAGAAACTTTAAATAAAGATAAACTTCGTAACTCTTATTATTATATTAATCATTTTTATAAATGAATACATCACATTTATATATCTGTCTGTAATGAAATTATAAATAAGCTTTATTAAAATACCACTTAAATTTTTTATGTTGGTCGTCAGTTTGATGGAACAAGTGAGCGATTTGCCATGGGGATACCTCTTAGGAGGACATTTTATGGGAACGGGTTCCCTATTTAGGTGTTTCACACGTGAAAAAATATTTATGGGAACTGACCTTTATTTAGCTGTTACATATACGAAGAAAACCTGGAAAACTCCACGCGGCCAATCCCTTATGAGGTGCGAATCCGCGAGTAACTACCATACTGTACAGTTGATTTATCCACTCGGCCACTGTGGACACCATATTGATGCAACAATATCTGTAAAATACCTATTTAACATTATGATTGTAATCCATTATGAGTTTTATACAGTATTTAATAATATTATTTAATTATTGTTTCTTTTCTCAACTTTAATATTTATTTTATAAAGAGTAAACGTATGTGAAATTTAAGTTTTAAATTAACAAATCTTTAATTATATTGAATTACTAACACGATAAAGTTGTAAAAGATCCAGATTATATATAAGAACAGAGGAAACTTACTTGAAAATTCTTTAGAAAATATCAATTTAAATGTGTACCTCTGTTTAAAAGGGAGTCCAAATCATTCTTTGTCTACGTTATACAGTAAATTTTTAATGATTCAATACAACAAGCATACATCAAACAATGTAACTTCATTAAAACTTCCTTCACATTCCATGCAGGAAACTTTATTTCGTACAGATTTCTGATTATATAAGAGAAAATTATAAAAGTTAAATAACAAGAAATCAGATTATTTTAAAGTAAAATAATTAAATACTTTGTCTTAATTAAGGACAGATCGTGTTAAATTAAATAATGATATTTTTAAAAACCAATTTTTATGAATAAATTTTAAATCATCTTAATTTTTTTCCCTTATTTGTTATTGATGTTATAACGTAATTTAGTGGCAAGAAAGTCGTGATTTTAAAATTCGAAATTTTTAATAACAAACAGGAAATTATATAATTATTACTTTTCCTGTGTTACAATATAACAGAGGAAAAGTAATTTTCAAATTTTGTGGACCTTGAAACATAGAGAAATTCAAAAAAGTGAGTGATTTTTCTATACGTACGGATGTATTGTGGGTGAAGACACGATTCTCTTCATCCAATTTGAAGCTTAATAACTCCTCTGTCAAAAATTTCAGAAATTTTGCATGGGGATTTGTGTATTAGGGGGCTCAATGCTATTAAATTTTGGCGGTTAAAGATCAAGGGGATGGATATATATATATATATACACGGAAATCACGTATCATATTGATATCTACAATGGGGTCGGAATTAATAAAGATTTTAATCATTATTAGGATTTAAAATCTCTTTATAAAACTCATCTCACTGAAATTTGTAATATATTTGAAACTATATTATTATATAACTTATGTAATTAGGTCACGTTTTCAGTTCAATACTAAGATGGGTAAAACACGCAAACAGGTCACTATAATTTTAGTTAAAAGCCTTTTACTTTTTTCGTATCTTCTTACGTTACTGGAACGTGTACTGAATACCGTAGAATTACAACGTATTCGTGACTGGATATAATATCTAGCGTTGAGATAACTTTGATACTATTTTATCTGGTTACAATGAATTTCTCTTTATCTATTGTTGTGAGATTGTGGTGACAATATCAAATGCTTGTTTATATTTTAAAAAAAAACAATAAAGAAGCTGAAAATTAATATATAAATTAAAATATGAACGGGTTGATTAATACACCCAATATCTTTGGGAATGAAAATTTTTAACTTAATTCCTTAATCAACAAAACTGGAATGCTAATTAAAAGCAACAGTTGCAAACTTGATTGAAGTCCTGCCACAGATGACAGTTGAAGTTAAGATTAATTCACTTCTAAAGAAACTTAATTTGTTGATGATTACAGATCGATCCGGAAACGAGTAAACTATAAAAATGTTTTTTTTTTCTTTTTGCTAGGGGCTTTAGAAACTGAGCCTGTGTTGTCAATTACATTATGGCCCTCTTTGAAAAATCTATACCCTGACAATAAAAGAGTTTCACAGTTTACACAGTAAATTAAATTGAGTTTTTTTCATTCCATAGAAAAAGACACTTTCTTGTAATGACGTGGAAAAAATTTTAAGCGATCGCAATGTTGAGAAAAACTATACAATTTTATTGCATCGAAGCACTTAGACCGTACAAATCTATAATAAAAATTCAGCAACGAGTTACTTAACTTTCCCAGCAACATTTAAAAATGTGTGTGCGCTATCTGTTATATTTTTAATTATTATAATGTGGCAAAAACTTTAAATTTCAGGGTAGGGTTGGATTTTTATAAACAGTTGTAAATAATAACAAACGAGTGAAATCGTCACTAAATCCGACACTACTGAAGATATGAAACACGACCCCCTTTATCTCCGCACCCCCCTCGACATTTAATCTCCAAAATTTAATACAATCGATCCCCCTAATAAACAAACTGCTGTGCAAAATTTCAAAAATTTTCGACAAAAAGTGCAGGAGTTATTAAGCTTGAAAAGAGTGAAAAAATCGTTCCCTCACACACGAACACATACACAAATAAAAACCGAATTTTTGCATNGGATTAGGCATACAGAATATAAAAATTACCGCCATTTGCTTCTATAGTACGTGCCTAGAAAATCATGCTTTATCGATAGATCTACTAAAATAATAATTAAAAAAATATGTTGAAGATTCTCTAATTTACAAAACTGTAGATATGAGAAGGTGAAAAATCTATACCCTGACAATAAAAGAGTTTCACAGTTTACACAGTAAATTAAATTGAGTTTTTTTCATTCCATAGAAAAAGACACTTTCTTGTAATGACGTGGAAAAAATTTTAAGCGATCGCAATGTTGAGAAAAACTATACAATTTTATTGCATCGAAGCACTTAGACCGTACAAATCTATAATAAAAATTCAGCAACGAGTTACTTAACTTTCCCAGCAACATTTAAAAATGTGTGTGCGCTATCTGTTATATTTTTAATTATTATAATGTGGCAAAAACTTTAAATTTCAGGGTAGGGTTGGATTTTTATAAACAGTTGTAAATAATAACAAACGAGTGAAATCGTCACTAAATCCGACACTACTGAAGATATGAAACACGACCCCCTTTATCTCCGCACCCCCCTCGACATTTAATCTCCAAAATTTAATACAATCGATCCCCCTAATAAACAAACTGCTGTGCAAAATTTCAAAAATTTTCGACAAAAAGTGCAGGAGTTATTAAGCTTGAAAAGAGTGAAAAAAATCGTTCCCTCACACACGAACACATACACAAATAAAAACCGATTTTTTTGCATTTTCTGACGTTTCAAGGTGTCCTGATTCCAAAAATGTAAAAATCTTGGGGGGGTTATCTTTTGACCGATCGCCATACTTTCCCTCTGTTATACATTGTTTAAGTAAAAGCCGGAAATAAGCCTGAAAAGTAAAAAAAATATGCAGCAATCATTATTCACATTATTATTCTTTCTTTACAACAAAACATTACTCATAAAAAATCGTATATTTTTAAAATAGCTATTGATAAAATTTTCTAAAGATATCAAGACTTAATCCATTTATCAACAAATCTATGTACATTTAAATTTTGAAGTATCAGTAATGTAGCATATCGAGAGAAATTTAAAATATAAATATTGTAGCATCATCAATTTGATATCCGAAATTTTTTACCTAACATATAGTCTTTTGTTACATTTAACATCTCAGAAATATTAAATGTAAGATTTTCTGCTATTTTAAAATATATTTCATGAGATTTTCTGACAGCAGAAATTTCTTGTAATGTTAAAAAATTTCATAAGTGTAAGTTTCTTATTTAATAAAGTTTTAGTAAGAAATTATAAATGTTTTACTAGTTATATCTTTATAATATTTAGTATCCATATTTTCCCTTTGTTATGTTATATATATATATATATATCACAGAGGGATGCCACAGATGACAGTTGAAGTTAAGATTAATTCACTTCTAAAGNCGAATCACTCTATGCGTTACAGTCAAACCAGTTTTTAGTTAGGATGCGTTTTAACTAGTTAAAACTAGTTTATACTGGATGTCTTTGTTAAAACCTGTTGTCTAGTTAAAACTAGAATTTACTGCTAGTCAAAAATGAATTTCAGAGTTAAAACTAGTTTTAACTAGACAAAACAGGTTTTAACAAAGACATTTAGTATAAACTAGTTTCAACTAGTTAAAACGCGTTCTAACTAAAAACGGGTTTTGACTGTAACATATATATCACAGAGGGAAAGTATGTATATTGGTAAAGAAATGATCCTTCAAGATTTTTACATTTTTGGACTCAGGAATTCGAAATTTGCAGAAATTACACAGATTGGAGGTAATTTACCTGTGTGTATGGATATACATACAGGGAAAAAACCCCAAATCGTTTCGAATTTCTCATTATTGTGTGTGGAAGGTGCACGATTTTTCACTAACTTCAAAGCTTAATAACTCCTGTGTCCGTTGTCAAAAATTTTTGAAATTTTGCAGGCTTCTTTCTGTATTAGGGAGAAAGACTTCTAAAATTTTCAGAAAACTTGGACTATTAGTTCGGGAGAAATATCCCTATCCCTTAATATCTCCCGAACCAATCTGAAGACTTGTAAAGGTAATGGTAGTAATTATTATGGATGAAAACAAATTTTTTACCAGCATTTTTATTTATCACGTTTAATCTTAATAAATAATATTCCTTTTATTAAAAAAAAATATAGTCCATAAATTCTGTTTCAATATATTTCAAAAAAATGTTTGTAAATTTATTTTTCAGTTGGGATCAAGAGTCCATCTATATAAAAAAAAACTCTTTACCATAAAATAAATAAGATAAAATCTATGCTAGAAAAGAAATTGAACAATTTAATTTTCATATTATAATGTAGAAAAAAACTAGATATAGTACATAAAGATTTTATTCTATAAGAAAAAAATATATTCTAATGCTCAAAATAAAAGACATTTCACTTGTTGAAAATATACGTAATTTCTGATAATTTACTGTAACATTAAAATTTATTATTTATAATAAAAACTGGATATTTTTAAGTTTTATATCAAACAATATGGGTCGGAACTTTTGATGAAAAGATATTTGTTTTGGTAAGTCGTATGGAATTTGTCAAGATAGATATTTTTCACTCTTTCAAGTACAAAACGATTGTCGTAAAAATTTTACGTCATTTTTCAATCGATATTCTTTCGTCGTAAAACATATTGTCAGGTTTCAAATATTATTACGTCATAAAAACTTTTACTACATCTCAATCAGTCGTTGTTATAATACACTTTCAAGGATTAGGCATACAGAATATAAAAATTACCGCCATTTGCTTCTATAGTACGTGCCTAGAAAATCATGCTTTATCGATAGATCTACTAAAATAATAATTAAAAAAATATGTTGAAGATTCTCTAATTTACAAAACTGTAGATATGAGAAGGATAAATTATATTCTAAATATAATTTCGAACATCCTCTACTAGAAATTTCAGGAAAATTTTTTATCTATAATATAGCCTTAGCCTAGCCTTATTGTAGAATGCCTTATAACACCTATCTATCACATGGTTAGAAATTGTTCTATACCAACTTAAAATTTGACAAATTTCTAATATAATCCTGAAATGTTTTTACTAAAGGAACACATTATAAAATTACACTTTAAATGTTTAAAAATGTCTTTAAAAGTAATGTAAAATATATAAAAAGTAAGTATCACTACTGTTATTAATTTTCCATAAAAAGAAAACCGAAATAAAAGAAGAAAATTAAATATTAAAATAGAAGTGTGTTTGCGATAAGTAACTATTAAATAAATGATGTGTTTAGTGTTTTTGTAACTTTCAAATCTTGCACGTAAAATAACTTACAAATTAAAAAGTCGAATTCCATTTAACAAAACTATTCGAAGAAACAATAGTTTCATCAAATATTTTCTATAACTTAATTAAAATAGTAAAATTAACCTATAACGCTAATGAATTTAAGCATCGTTGTTAGTTTTACATGGCAGGCGACATTTTCAATTATCTTGATTTCAGCAAATATTTTAACACAATTAAATAAATATAATTTGATTTTACAGTGATAAAAAAAAACAAATTTAAATTTTATTATTATTAACGTGAAATATGTTGTGATGTTACAACAGAATTTGAGATTATGTCCTCCAAAAGCTGGAACTATTCATTGTAAACAACACAACACACCGTACGTACGTGTTCCAGGACACTTTAATTGAAAAAACAAATGTTTATGGCTACTTTTAGGAGCCCGCTTTAGGTTATTAAGCCGTTTGAAATTCGTATGAGATTCTTTGTATTCCAAAACGAAACGTTCTTTTGTTTCGGAATACAAAGAATCTCATACCTTTGTTTTTTTTTCAATTAAACTTTGCTGGAATATGTACGTGTGGTGTGTTGTGTTGTTTACGTAGAATTTGAGATTTTATGCCACAATGCAATTCTATTTAATAAATATTTTAAAAATTATTTAATAGATTGTTCGTGTTTGATAGTTAGCACATACACTAATCCCTCAAGTGTATTATAGAATACAATTGAATAACAATTAAAACATTTAAAATTTAAAAAATCTAGACTTAATACAGACCAATTTAAATAATTTTATAGTCTACTCAAATACCACAACGATCAAAATTGAGTACAGTAATAAAAAAAAACTAATATTAAAAGTAAATACAATTAAAAAATAAAGCTGTAAAATAGCTCATAAAGAATTTATTGTGCAGTGATGTTAATGTATTATTAAGTGAAAACATAATACATTGTGAAATCCATTAAAAAATAAAAGCGTAAAAATTTTTTTTTAGTATATTCAGTAAAAACTAAAAAAAAAAAAATAGAAAAGTTATTCTTTTAAACACAGGATTCTGTTTATGAATATTTAATATTAAGTTTATTTCAGAACTCTACCAGAAAATCCCATATTTCTAATATATATATATATAACTGACTGTAATATGACAGTATATATTAGAATATAAAATAACTGCATTATCTAAAGTGCATCGATTTTATACGTTTCGCAGAGATCAAAGTTTTCATATTAATTACATTAATTAGACATAGTCACTACTCCATCTCTCCAGCTATTTATCTCATAAATTATTTCATCTATTTAAATTAACTTCGATACAAGATTTACAAGAATTAGACATTAACACGTACTGTACACGTCTCTATAGGTGACCATGCGTGTA